AATCAACTTTCCAGGCACTGATCTGAACACACAGTATCCATGAGATAACATTCAAATCTTAATGTCTCTTTCCAATAGACTTATACCAACCAACGTGAGGACTTGAGAGAGGAAATATATCCATGTGCTTCTTGCAAACCTAATCGCTAGGCTGCCTCATGTCCCTGTGCAATTACTGGCTGCCACAAGGGCTCTTACACCCAGGAGACTCTCTGTCTCTAGGAAGGGGAGAGTGAGTGCCACATGGTGGCAGATTTATGGAGCAACGCTGGCATCTTTCATGCAGAAGACTGGCAGCCAGGAGTAATCCAGTCCCCCTAGGACACTGACACAAGTGATCGGAGTATACCTAAATAGGTGCGGTCTAAAGAAAACAGGAGTGGGGAGGCAAAGGGCAAAGAAAGCCAGAGATGGTGAATTGTGCCCTTAAAATCTATTTCTCTGTGTCATGTGGAGGATCAGTCAACACTGTGCTCTCTCTCTCTCCCATTTACATAGTTAACTTGGGAGAAAGAAAGAGCTAATGTATTAAAGAGTCTGTCCTACTTCTGAAGCAGGAAAGCCAGGACTTGGTTCTGGCTCTGTGGGTTATTAAGCTGTGTGTGCTCACTTATTCATTTGGGTCACTTACCAAATCTGGACTTCAAATTTCCTCATCTATAAAATTAAAGTATTAAACTAAAAAATGTTGTATCTCTGGATCTAAATATATCCTGTGAAGTACTAACTTAGACAAAGTGTAGATATGAAAGCCATTTTTTTATTTTTTTGAGACGGAGTCTCGCTCAGTCGCCCAGGCTGAAGTGCAGTGACACAATCTCAGCTCACTGCAAGCTCCGCCTCCTGGGTTCATGCCATTCTCCTGCCTCAGCCTCCTGAGTAGCTGGGACTACAGGTGCATGCCACCAGGTCCGGCTAATTTTTTGTATTTTTAGTAGAGATGGGTTTCACCGTGTTAGCCAGAATGCTCTTGATCTCCTGACCTCATGATCCACCCACCTCGGCCTCTTGAAGTGTTGGGATTACAGGCATGAGCCACCATGCCTGGCCGAAAGCCATTTCTAAGAAGACATGTTTTGTGAAATCTGAGCTCTTGCCAAAATAATATTCCTTCTAGAAATGTTAACCCACTTCATCAAGAATTACTTACTGTGACCAAAATAAAAGCTGTTAATACTTCTAGGCAATAGGCAATTGAAATAGATTCTGTTCTTACTTTTCTCGGATGAAAAGAATAATTGTTTCTTCCAAAAGATAAAACTAAGGAAACAAGGATATCACTGTCGCTCAATATTCACAAAAAAGGACAAGATAATTTCCACCTAATTACATATAACTTTAAAACAAGGGCCAGGTGCAGTGGCTCACACCTGTAATTCTAACACTTTGGGAAGCCAATGATCACTTGAGGCCAGGAGTTCAACACCAGCCTGGGTAAAGTGAGACCCCTATCTACTTAAAAGAAAAGCACATACCTGTAATTCTAGCTACCTACTTGGGAGGGTGCGGTGGGAGGAACCTTTGAGCCCAGGAGTTGGAGATGACATCGAGCTATGATTGAGCCATTGCACTCCAGCCTGAACAAGAGTGAGGTCCTGTCTTCTCTTAAAAAAAAAAAAAAAAAAAAAAAAAAAAAAAAGGAAAATACCAAGTAGGGAAGGAAAGATCCTCCTAAGTAGCAGGCTAACACTTTGCTGTTACCATTTAAACTGCGTTAATGTGCAACTGGTTCCATTTACACTTCCCTCCATTTAAGATAGCGGACTAAGCATAAATACACAAACCTGGATTATTAGCATTCCAGGATAAGGAGATATGCCTGAGTAAAAAGATACAGAATGAATAGTATTTCGTAAATGTAACACTTTTTCCTCCCAGGCTCAAGTGACCCCTTCCACCTCAGCCTCCCAAGTAGCTGGGACTACAGGTGTGGCCACCACACCCAGGTAATTTTTAAATTTTTTGTAGAAATGGGATCTCACTATGTTGCCCAGGCTGGTCTCAAACTCCTGGCTCAAATGATCCTCCTGCTCCAGGTTCTAAAAATGTTGGTATTACAGGTATGAGCCACTATACCTAGCAGAATTTTTATGAAAAGTTCTTAAATCTTTAAGACAGAACATAATCTCTGTACCTCTGTAGCAAGCACCAAACAACTGGAAGCTGTATCCTGTGTAAGACCATTTACTGGGCGATAGTGAAATCTGAATACTGTTCACTTTACTTAAACACTAGCATTCTCCCTTTGTGGGAAGCTGAATCAAAGTACTAGTCCTTTTATTTAGAGTTTGTTTTGTTTTTGGATGGAGTCTCGCTGTCTTCTAGGCTGGAGTGCTGTAGCGCAATCTTAGCTCACTGCAACCTCCACTGCCCAGGTTCAAGCAATTCTCCTGCCTCAGTCTCCCGAGTAGCTGGGACTATAGGCCCGTGTCACTTCGCCCAGCTGATTTTTGTATTTTTAGTAGAAATGGGGTTTCACCATGTTGGTCAGGCTGGTGTTGAGCTCTTGACCTCAAGTGATCTGCTCGCCTCGGCCTCCCAAAGTGCTGGGATTACAGGCGTGAGCCACTGCACCTGGCCTAGAGAGTTATTAAAAGAGAAACACTTTTTAAGAATTAACTAAATATTTCCAAAGACAAGTTTGCTATTGCTTACTTTTAAAAAAGGAATCCTCCCTTTCTATTTCTCCATTTTCTACTGACTATATTATTCACAGTAAAATTATTTCTATAAATTGCCTCATTTTATAAAATTACTTTTTCACTAATTGAGTAGACAAATCCTTAACCTACATATTAACCATTTCATGTTTTACATCTTTTTCAAAAAGAGCATAAAAAGTAAATTAAAATCCTTACAAATATTCACACTGACTTCTAGGACTCTACGCTGGGAAAATAATCCTAAATTTTGGGAGTTTTATGTATAAAAGTGTTGATTTTTTAAATTCATTTTTGGTACTTTAACCAAAAGAAAACAATCTAGTGGGATAGTTAAGTAAATTATGCTACTTCTACTTGACAGAATAGCATAGCGCTATTAAAATTTTGTTTCCAAAGCATTAAAACAGCAATATTTTATACTGTATTACTAAATTAAAAATCTAAGATATAAAATTATGCACCTAGAATAAACATAAAAATAAACCACAAAACTTTTTCTGAAGATTTGAAGGAAATGCCCCAAAATATTAATATTGGCGGGCCAAAGTGGAAGATCACCTGAGCCCAGGAGTTCAAGATTGCAGTGAGCTGTGATCCTGCCACTGCACTCCAGCCTGGGTAATGGGATGAGACCCCCCATCTCTTAAAATATATGTTCTTCAATTCCACTGTGGTGAATGTAATGCATTTGTAACAGTATTAACAAAATCTGCAAGTGGAAGAATCAGTACTACTCTGAGGAAAGGACTCTCCAGCCAAAGAGAAGCACTTAGATTTTATGCATCATTGGCTAACTCCTTGGGTAAATGTCTGTCCTTCTAAGTTTCTGGGTTAAGTATGCTCAGGATTGTCACATTTTTCTATTCAGTTTCATTAGAATTAACAACTCATGACTAAGATATCGCAAAGAATATAGGCTTTTACAAAAATTTATTGTTTCATTATTAGGTGCTTTATTATTATAAATTTACTGGCATTTCGTCATACTAATATCTTTTGGGAAACACTTAAGAATAATATTAAGTTTTAGAATGATGCTATGTCTGTAACATCCTTTGAATTGAATCTTGGAACTTACCTTACACCAAATTCTGTATTATAAGGGGTTGGTCATATCAGGAAATCTACAAATTATAAACTATACACCAAGCATTCATGATGAATATTCTTAGGTAGATGTTTAAGAAAAATTCTTGGGGATATGTGTAAGAAAAATGGTAGAAATACTAGAAAGATATTCTAGTTACATAACCCTTTGAATGGAGTCGTAGATAGAACATATACCAAATTATCTATTATAGATCAGTTATATTACAGCAAAGCTATAAAGTATAAATAATACACCGAACATTTAAACTCTAAAGATTCAGTCAAAATGAAAACCCAAAGTAAACACACATTTTAAAATTTGATTTAAAGTCCCATTACTATTTCTTTATTTTAAAAGTATCTCTCTAGGTATTTCTGGTTTCCAATGATGGAAGAGTAGCTCCTAACAAATTCCCCTACAGATAAAAAGTATAAACTGAGGCCAGGGGAAATCAACAAGAAAAAGAAATTAAAGGTAAATATTTCAAAAGGAAGAAAAAACTGCCTCTTTCTTGCAAATGACATGACTGTCTATGTGGAAGATGTCAATCTACAAAAAGCTACAAGGACTATTAAGGTAGTCTTCCAGGGTCATAGGAGACCCACAGTGAGGGCTGCACTTCAAGACCTACTTTCAAAGAAGAGTACGGAAAGCGGAAAAAATGTAACCTCACAATGAAGAAAACTGGCAAATACAAGGTTGGGTAGGTGATCGAGGTAAATATCATCAGTGATAAAGCATGTTAATATGTACTATTATATGAGGTAATGAGAATACTTCACTTCTGTGGTATTAGCCCCAATCTAACCATGAGAAAAATATCAAACCCAATTTGAGGGACATTCTACAAAACATCTGAATATTCCTCAAAATTGTCAAGATATAATAAACAATGACAGAAACTCTCACAGACTAGAAGAGATGTAAGTAAATGTATATCCTCTGTGGGATCCTACAAAAGGAAAAGGGCCTTAGTAGAAAAACTAGTCAAATCTGAATGAAATCTTGAGTTTAGTTGATAGCAATATATCAATGATAAATATACTATGGTTGGTAGGGGCTGATTTTGTGCTTCCCTTCCCAAATTCACATGTTGAAGTCCTAACCCTCAATACCTCAAATGTAACTGTATTTGGAGACAGGCCTTTTAAAGAGGTGATTAAGTTAAAATGAGGCCTTACATCCAATCTGATTAGTGTTCTCACTGGAAAAGACTATGACAAATGAAAAGCCACATAAAACACTAAATTAGTCATAAACCAATTATTTAATTGAAGCTATAAAAAAGCCAGTATAAGTGATAAAACAATTAGGAAAGAATATTTAGCATGTTTCAAAAGATTTAAAATAGCAGGACATTTTACAAAAAGTTGTACAGGAAATAAAATTCTTAAACTATAAGTACAAACATGACATTACAGAGTATCTTATAAAATACAAAGACAAATATAAAAGGACTATGATGCTTTAAGTCTGAAAACTATTAATAATGGCCAAATATTTAGGTTTAAATTCACAGTTCCTGGGTATGAGAATCATTACTATACACATCTCCCAAACCAGTAGGTAGTATTTTCCAATTAACCATGTGTGGTATCATCTTCTACAAAGTCTTTGGCCATCTCTGCTGTGATCACATCAATATGACTAACCTGAAGAATAAATATTAAAAACAAAATCTGTTAAATACATCTGTTTGCATTGTATAGGGTAATATATACAGCCCATCACCTACATTTTTAAATTTTTTTTTTTTTTTTTTTTTTTTTTAGATGGAGTCTTGCTCTTGTCGCCCAGGCTGGAGTGCAGTGGCACGATCTTGGCTCACTGCAACCTCCGCCTCCCAAATTCAAGCAATTCTTCTGCCTCAGCCTCCCAAGTAGCTGGGACTACAGGCTCACACCACCATGCCCAGCTAATTTCGTATTTTTAGTAGAGATAGGGTTTCTCCATACTGGCCAGGCTGGTCTCAAACTCCTGACCTGGTGATCCCCCTGCCTTGGCCTCCCAAAGTGCTGGGATTACAGGCGTCAGCCACTGCGCACAGCCTATCACCTATATTTTACATATGAAGTAAAATAATTCTGAAGCACTGACTTATAAAACCTTTACTTACAGTGGTGTTTGTTCAATGCATGGATTTAAAAAATATGTATTTTAATGCTCTGAAGAAATACCATGCCTAAACATCTAAACTACCTTTTGTTCACTTTCTATTACTTTGCTATTTCATCAATAATGTTAAGGTTGGGAAGACACCCAGGAAGAGCTATGCAGTCCATACAAATGAACATATGTAATTGTTAAAGATTGTGCATTACAGAAGCACTGAATAGACTGGATAGAAAGATATGGTTTGCTAATGCCAATGAAAATAAAACGAATGCAATGCCATAAACTATTGCTAAACTTCATAGTTATTTGAAGGAAAAGTTTTTTCTTTAAAAAAACATCAGATAAGCAAAGACTTTCTAAGTTTTCTTTCACTATTTAACATAAAATCAGAATTCAACAAATTAATTACAAACTTAAAAAATTACCTTATTTCTGAACTTTACACCATAGAATTTGTCAGCTGACTCAAGCAGTTCAGGCCTAAAAGTAGTTGTAATAAACTGAGCATGTACAGCAAGTTCCATAATCATATCTGTAAAAAGGAAATAATGCTTTAACAAATTTCTCTTTCCAGCAGAGCTGAAAATTTAAAAAGCAACTATCTTTACTCTTACTAAAATTCAAAACTGCCTGAGTTTGATTTTTTCATACATGTATCAGCAAATATTACCAGCTTATTGTTAAATACAAAACCAAAACTGTACTGAACTGTACCTGACACAGCCTTTCTGTGCTGAGCATCCAGAGCCTGGTCAATCTCATCAAACAAGTAAAATGGAGCTGGGTCACATTTCTGAATGGCAAAAATCAGAGCAAGAGCTACCAAGGATTTCTGTCCACCTGAAAGTTGTTGCATTTCTCTCATTTCACCTTGTTTTCCTGTAAATGACACCTAAGAATAAACACATGAGTTAATATCCTAAAGGGTAGAACCACCACCATCTTCCAAAAGTAACTTGCATATAATGCACCAATCAGATATGCAAAAGATACTATAAATTCTATTATGGTAATGCTCTGAGGAAAATGGAATATAAAGGTATTTTACCCTAATTCCAACTCCAGTAAACTGATCAACTGATGGGACACTGCTTTGTGAGCCAGAACCCCTCTCACTCTCACCGCTCCCTTCTCCTTCATCTTGAGACTGACTGCCCTCCACATCTCCTTTCTTCATCACCAAAGTAGCTTTGCCACCAGGTACTAACTTCTGGAATACTTCACTGAAGTTCTTGGATACCTTAAAAAAAAAAAAAGAAGACTGAAATATAAATTTTGCTTAGGTAGAATTATACATTAACAAGTAAAATATTTAAAAGCTACCAATTATGTTTTAATCTTAACAAGGATAACAGACTGGATCCTTCTAAAGGCTGTGTAAAACATTCAAGTTACTGTAAACCTATATGCTAGATTTGTTCACATGTATTAGATTCACCTGTTAATGAGGAAAAAAGCTTTAAAATCTTTACAAACTAAGAGCTGAAGCTTTTGTCCTGTGTATATTTTTACTACAAAGCAAAACATACCTGTTTGAAAGTTAACTGAATAGCTTCGTATTTCCGAAGTTCAAGTACATTCATCAGCTCCATGATCGATTTGTAACCCCTATCTAACTCTTCTTGTCGCTTTATTAACTTTTCTTTCTGCTCTGAGAAATTTACAAACTGATCCAAAGCCTTTTTGTTAACATGGCTGTACTTCTTTAATTCTGTGTTGCACTGCTCAAGTTTTCGAAACAACTAAAAAGAGAAAATATGTATTCATATAAATAAATTTACATACCAAGCAATTTGTAACAAGACTTCAAATTTAAAACCAACCTGTTTGAGGCTCAGTGTCTGGTACTTTTCAAATGCTTCCTGGGGAAGTGATCCAAGTTCTCGAATTTTCTTCATACACTCCTCTTTCTTCTTCAATAGCATGCCTTGCCGATTTGTCATCTTTTCCAGTTCTTTAGTATCATGATTTATAGCATCCATATGTTCTTTTTCCATATTTTTCCAGCGCTCCATACTCTTCTGAAGCTCCTTAATTCCAGCTTCTGTTTTATCAATGGAATTGTCCAAATCTAAGATGGGGGGAAAAACAAAATTAGGCTATAATATCTAGTTTAAAGCCAGTGTTACAGCGTTATTTGAGTAAAGATTTTTACGATCAAACCTACCAAAATAGGTTTTAGGTTTTTGTCAGTGTTTAAAATTTTCTGTGAAAATTTATGAACCCCTTAAATCAGTACAAAATTAGAAGTATATATATAAGTCACTCAAATATATAATTTTCATTATTCAATGTTAATGCTTATAAACTAAAGTTATTTTCTTAGCAACTAAGTGATAAGAGAAACTTGAGTCAAGTATTTCATATTTTATCAACAAAATGAATCATTCATGGTCTCAATTGTCACAAACATTTCAGTAAAAACTTCCTATTTATAGTCAACTTACTAAATTCCATTCACTATACATTGTTTATAATGGAAAACAAAAAATCATTAGTATATGCTTCTGCCTATTTGGACATTTTATTCTGCAGTAAACAATTTTATAAAACATATATGTAAACAAAATTTTACTACATAAAAATTCACCTTCTGATCGTGCCATAGTGTCTTTTACTCTTTTATTGATGGCTTCAAGTTCTGATGTTGTGGCAGTGAGAACAGTACCCCCTTCTGTCTCTCTCAGCTCATTAAGTTCCTATAATAAAAAAAAGTAAATTCCATTAGTTTCAAATGTTATGACTGCCAACATTTTCTACAGCTATTGTCTGAACATTCAAGAAAACCAAAAAATATAAATACTTCATATAATTAGAAATATACTTAAAGTATCCATTAAAGGGAAGAAAAAGACATAATTACTAGAAAATTTCTAAGCATCTAAACACCACTGAAAAACTATAACATTTACTAAGTACTTAGAATGTGCCACGATAGCAATTATATAAAACAACTATGATAATATTTAATTTACACAAGAAACTGAGGCTTAGAAATAGTGACTTGTCCAAAATCACACACTAGGTGGCAGAATTCCAACCCAAGGCCCACAGACACTAAGCTTTCTGTCCCCAAAGCCCTTGCTTTCAATCAGAGCCTCTGATATAACCACTTGCAGTAGGTCATGGCCACCAAGGAGCCCTTAAAAAAAAAAAAAAAAAACACATACACACCTGTTCTACTTGGTCCAAGCGTTTTCTCAGATTCTCATTGAGATAAGTCTCTACTCGAGTAATAATACCTTCTAATTTAATTCTTTCATTTAGCAACTGTCTGTTTTCCTAGAATTAAGAAAAAGTCTACATAAGCATGTACATTTCACACACAGGAAGAGTGCTCATCTGCTGTCCTCTCTAGTACTTGTGCTCACATTGAGCTGAAATAAAGTTTAATACATTATATTCTTCAAAAAAGCCCTATACTTTCTTCATTTTTCTCTTATCAATTCATAATGTTAAATTTTTGTGGCTGGCTCTTTTTGTAATGCTTGCTGTCAAAAACGGTTTCTTTAACTGCTTTTCATTTTTTAGAATCAGTGTTGGTGGTTTACATCTATGCAGTTTTAAAAATCTACTAAAGGCTGGGCACGGTGGCTCAAGCCTGTAATCCCAGCACTTTGGGAGGCCGAGGCGGGCGGATCACAAGGTCAGGAGATCGACACCATCCTGGCTAACACGGTGAAACACTGTCTCTACTTTAAAAAAAAAAAAAAAAAAAAAAAAATTAGGCGTGGTGGCGGGCGCCTGTAGTCTCAGCTACTCGGAGGCTGAGGCAGGAGAATGGTGTGAACTCGGGAGGTGGAGCTTGCAGTGAGCTGAGATCGTGCCACTGCACTCCAGCCTGGGCGACAGAGCAAGAATCGTCTCAAAAAAAAAAAAAAAAATCAATTCAAATGTTTAATTAAAATATTAAATATGTAAAGGTAGTAAGATAAATATGGTAAGTCTTAACAAGCTCAAACTTACTAATAGCAATACTTACAACTAATAAGTAATGCTAATTAACTAAACTGTAAGGAAATGAAAATTTCTTGTATAATCCTAACCTAGCTAGAACGGTTTAGAAAAACAAAATCTTATTTACTCCTATGGGTATTAAAAGTCCAAGCCTCATTTTAATATTTTCTCAGTTCTTTTCTTTCATATTCCCCTAGTTAGCAAGAAAGGCACTTTTCACAATAGCCAATTACTAATGAATTTTTTTTCCAGTCAGCCATGTACTTACCTGCTGAAGTTGACGAATCTCATCATTCAGTGCATCTACTCTCTTCTGATCTTCCAAACTCAGTTGAGAAAGCAAATCAGTTCCCAGTTCTGCTTTCAATGATTCTCTGGTAGACTCCATAGCATGCAAGCTTGCCTCCAAACTCTGTAAGCTACGTTGCTATATGACGTTATCCGTTTATTAGTAAGGTATTAGCCTCTGGATTACTTATAGTGAAAATTTTAAAACAATCTATATTTGATCTGAGCTAAATACAAAGACATAACTCAAATATTAGGTGCCTATTAATGTGGTCATTAGGACTCTAGCAACAAAAAACATACGATGTAATAGTATAGGTGGGGCAGGGTGGGCCAGATCATATTCCATGATTAAACTATACAAAAATCTTCAGGCATACTATAACAAAGTTGCCGGGCACGGTGGCTCACACCTGTAATCCCAGCACTTTGGGAGGCCAAGGCGGGTGGATCACGAGGTCCAGAGTTTGAGATGAGCCTGGCCAACATGGTGAAACCCGTCTCTACTAAAAATACAAAAATTAGCTGGGTATGGAGGCGTGTGCCTGTAATCCCAGCTACTCGGGAGACCGAGGCAGGAGAATCACTTGAATCCGGGAGGCACAGGTTGCAGTGAGCCGAGATCATGCCATTGCACTCCAGCCTAGGTGACAGGGCGAGACTCCATCCCAAAAAAAACCAAAAGTTGTCAGAATGTGTTGAGATGGTACAATTGCAGGCACATCTTGTTTTTTTTTTTTTTTTAAGCTCTTTGTAGTTTCAGTATTATACTACGTAAAAGATTGGTCAAAACTGTCAAGTTTATGAGACCAATAACATACTATCACATAAGTTTGCTTTCTAATTTTAATACAGTCTGGACAAAATGGAATCAAATATTCAGCTAATTCCACTGTGCTTCAGATAAAAATGGTTACTGACAAAAACTGACCATCAGTTATGTCATAGCTTCAAATGCCTATTTGTTCAATGCAGGTGGAAAGTTTGAACGTGCCAACAACAGGAGACTCTGGGTATTCATGGGTTTAAGAATGGTAAAACAGATGCAGACATCCAAAAGTATGGGTCCAGCCTGGGCACAGTGGTTCACACCTGTAATTCCAGTACTTTGAGAGAGCAAGGCAGGCGGATCACCTGAGGTCAGGAGTTTGAGACCAGCCTGGCCAACACGGTGAAACCTCATCTCTACCAAAAACACAAAATTAGCCGGATGTGGTGGTGCACGTCTGTAGTCCCAGCTCCTCAGGGGGCTGAGGCAGGAAAATCGCTTGAACCCAGGAGGTGGAGGCTGCAGTGAGCTGAGAACACACACTGCACTGCAGCCTGGGCGAGGGCGAGACAGAGTAAGACTCTGTCTTCAAAAAAAAAAAAAAAAGTATGGGTCCAAACAAAAATGAAGCATAAAATTCAAGGATAACCCATATAATGTATGATCCACATTAATCTGTAACAGTTGGTCTATAACCAAAGATATACTTACGAACCTTAGGCATGAAGGTTTTCTCTGACTGCTGCCTCTTCTCTTTTAGCATCTTCATTTCTGATAATATGCTATCTCTAGATGCTTTGAATTTCCTTTGCTGGGTCTCAATCTGTTGCATTTGGTTCATCAACTGATCAATTTCATTATTAATCCATATACAAGGCTAAGGAAAATTATCTCCAGGTGGTAAATGTATCATGTTCTGAATTCTTTTTAGACACAACACCATATATCCCTTCCTTTTCTTTACCCCCAAATAACATTCATGTCCTCAAATTTATGGACCAAAACAATGCTGAACTGTATTACCCAAAATGCGTTCAACCATAAAGAAGCTTGAAACATTTCACACCCCACCATTTCACTCTCAGAATAACATGTATACTGTTTTACTAAAAGCTATACAAAACAAATTCTTGGAAAACCATAAAGGAGGCTAGGTGAAATCTAACAATATTACATACTTTTAAGTATCTTTTCATTCAACAAATGTTTACTGTTACTATGCTTAAGGCACTATGTTAAGGGTTTATGTATGAAGAGTAGTTCTTGCCATATGTGGAAGAAATAATTCAATCTAGCTGGATTATCAAACACAGGAAGACAGCTGGTACACACTGTCAACATCCTCCTTTTCCTCAGTATTTCCCCATACTCTGTGTCAACATCTTGCCAAATTCAGGCAGTTCTTTAAAGTGTGATATGCAGACCCCTACAAGGTCAAAGCTCAGGTGCTTATTTTTATTTTTCTGTGCTTGCACTGATGGCACAGAAGGTATATATCTGCAGTTTTTAAAAAATGCCAGTTTCACTGAAGCAGTAAAAACCACTAACTTTATATCTATTCTTGATGCTCAAGTACCTATATTTTTTTCAACTTGTTTGGCGAAACGGAAAGCACACATAAAGTACTTTTGTCTTATACCAAAGCACCATGGTGATTGTAAGAAAATCCACATACACAATTGTTTCATTTGTGAACTGAACTAACGACTATGGTTACTCAGACTTGGTTATCTGACAGCCATTTCCTCCACTGACATTAAATTTGCACCAAATAACTTCACGACAGTAAAATCTAACATTTTTCACCCTCCCCTGCCACCCCCCCTTTTTTTTTTTTTTTGAGACAGGGTCTCACTTTGTCACCTAGACTGGAGTGCAGTGGTGCGATCTCAGCTCACTGCAACCTCCACCTCCCAGGCTCAAGTGGTCTTCCTGCCTCAGCCTCCCAGGTAGCTGGGACTACAGGCCTGTGCCACCACACAAGTACAATGAACTGCCGGTCCTTACGTATTTGACTTCTAAGCAGTATGTAACATTACTGATGCCTCTCACTCTCTTCCTTAAAACATTATCTCTTGCTTACATAAATTTAACAAGAAAAAAAATCAAAAAACACTACCAAGGTTTTCCTTATACAATTCACTAACTGATCCTTCTCAGTTTCCTCTTTCTTTGCCTGATACAACCTGTATTTTGGTGTTCTATGGGTTCTTTTCTTCCAAGTGACTTGATGGTATTAGCTACTTAACACTTAATCATTAAAATAGCTTTTAGTCTTCAAAAGCTAAACAAACATAAGCCCTGAACTTAAAACACAAAGTTTTAATATATATGTGAAAAAACAAAAGATTATATATGGCAACCAAAACACAGTTCTTTCCCCACAATATCTATCATTATGCACAAAACAAAAAGATATTTTCAATATTTCTGCGCAGGTTTTCATTGAGCTTTGCTTCAAGTTCGCCTAGTTCTTCTTCTGCTTTTCTAACATCTTTCTGCAATTCAAGTCGAGACTTCCTTGTGTCATAATAACCCCCAGTTAGAGCACCTCGATGACTGACCTGGTCACCTATAAACAAAACATATGTGATAGGTCTGTATAACTTTTATTCAATGATAAATTGACTTATAATGAAAAAAACTAACCTGCAGGCTTTAAGTACATAATGAGAATTGAAAAGAATTTAAACCTCTCTGAAAAAATTGCTTTTCAATGCTAAAATTTCCTTTTTTTTGAGACAGAGTCTTACTCCCTTGCTCAGGCTGAAGTGCAGTGCTGTGGCCACAGCTCACTGCAGCCTCAAACTCCTGGATTCAAGTGATCCTCCTGCTTCAGCCTCCTGAGTGGCTAGGAACAGGTGTGTACCACCACACCTTTTTTGTAGAGGCCAGGTCTTGCTATGTGCCCAGGTGGTTCTCAAACTTCCGGCCTCAAGTGACCCTCCTGCTTCAGCCTCTCAAGTATCTGGGATTACAGGGTCAAGCCACTGTGCCCAGACAAAACTCGCAGTTTTTGTTTTTTTTTTTCTAACAAAAACTCGCAGTTGAACCTGAACATCTACCAGAGAGCAAGGAAGTATTGAAGACTAATGAGGACATATTAGTAGGACACAGGACCTAGCCTGAAATTTCCACTGGCCCTATTTAGGAAAATTTGAGCATCAAAATAACAATACCAGTATAATAACACATTTTATTTTTTAAAAAATAATCCATGAATCACAGTGATACTTTTAAAAAAATGAAAAGTGGAGACTCTTCTCTACAGAAGAGTGACAGCTAATAAATGCAGTAGCAATAACAGAATTCAAGAATCACCATTTTTAAACTCCCAGTGTAATAACTGATTCAGGCAAGAGTCAACAAAGGTGCTAACGCAACTGGTAAACTTGTTGGGAGAACTTGACATTCATGTAGTCTTGAAGAATAATCTCACATATTATTAAACTACAAAGGGGCAAAAGGGGTACCTTTACAATGGAGAGATCTGCAGGTGATCAAACCTAGTATCGCTAACAATGAGACACATTATATGACACCATAAGTATATACATTCATGTCAACAATAAACGATGAGGAAGCAAGAAGACAAATCCAGAAAATGGAACTTTTCTGGATTTTTCTAGGTGGGGAGAAGGGAGGAGTAACTGTCTTATATTTAAAGAATCTAAAGAGAAGACACTACATGCATACTTGATTGAATCCTAGATAGAAAAATATTTTAGAAAAACAAAGCTTGAATATGGATACTTTTAGAAGATATTAGGTTAATGTTAAATTTCTTAGGTGTAACAATGATACTGTGGCTATACAAAAGAATGTTCTTATTGTTAGGAGATGCATGCTTAAATTTTAGAGATGAAGTGTCATGTTTTACTTATTCTCAGATGGTTCAAAACCACAACAAAATGTACATATACAGAAACAAAGCCTGGGGGGAGATGGGTTTACCTGCTTTCTTTAACAAATAAAGAGAAAAAAAAAATTGAGGGCAGGTAAACTTATATACTGGAGGTTTCTTAACCTGAATTCCAAAGATAAAATTCAGAAGATCTGTGATTCGAATAGGAAAAAAATTTACATCTTTATTTTTATCAACCTCAAAATGAGATTTAACATTTCCTTCTATAATGAACAGGACAAGAACCACAGTAGTAGTATTAGTACCTGTGACTTTACCAAAAGAAGAGCTATTTTCATATTAGATTACACTTATCAGATCTCAAAATAGTTTACATGTATCAGTACTTCAAACTTATGGTAGTTATTAGACCCACTACTAAATCTTGTTTTTTGAATACATTAAAGAATTATTATTATTATTATTTTTTTGAGACAGAGTCTCGCTGTGTCTCCCAGACTGGAGTGCAGTGGCACAATCTCGGCTCACTGCAAGCTCCACCTCCCAGGTTCACACCATTCTCCTGCCTCAGCCTCCCGAGTAGCTGGGACTACAGGCGCCCGTCACTATGCCCGGCTAATATTTTGTATTTTTAGTAGAGACGGAGTTTCACCGTGTTAGCCAGGATGGTCTCGATCTCCTGACCTCGTGATCCACCCACCTCGGCCTCCCAAAGTGCTGGGATTACAGGCTTGAGCCACCACGCCCAGCCAAAGAATTATATTTTTTTAAATAATCTTGCCAATACATCTTTGTGATCCAAAGTATTTTATTCTAAGCATTAAAAATTGTGTTGAATGTGGCTTTTGCTGTAGAAAAGAAAAAAAGTAAAAAAAAAAAAAAAAAAAAAAATTGTGAGGAAGTATCCATAGGCTTCAAATAGCCAAAGCAGTCCACACTGCAAAAAAGGTTAAAAACCCCTGCTACATATCAAATGATTACATTTCAGAGACATCAACTAAGTATCAAGTACAAATCCTGTCTGGACTCTTAATTGAACAAACCAACTATTTAAAAAACGATAAAATAATTGAAAATAAATGTTTCTTTTCTTTTCTTTTTTTTGAGACAGGGTCTTGCTCTATCACCCAGGCTGGAGTGCAAGGGTGTGATCTTGGCTCACTGCACCCTCTGCCTCCCGCGTTTAAGCCACTCTCATGCCTCAGCCTCCTGAGTAGTTGGGATTACAGGCGCACACCACCACACCCAGCTAATTTTTTGTATTTTTAGTAGAGGTGGGGTTTCGCCATGCTGGCTAGGCTAGTCTTGAATTCCCGGCATCAAGTGATCCACTTGCCTCGGCTTCCCAAAGTGCTGGGGTTACAGATGTGAGCCATCACACCCGGCCAAAGGCAAAGGATGAATTTTTCGAATACTCTCAAAACCAGAATCCCTCCAAAATACTGTTAAGATATATTCATCAGACATGCATATAGCTCAAGTGACATATTACACAGATTATATGTCTCTCTGTTTTTTGAGACAGTCTCACTCTGTCACCCAGGCTGGAGTGCAGTGGCGTGATCTCGGCTCACTGCAACCACTGCCTCCCGCGTTCAAGCGATTCTCCTGCCCCAGCCTCCTGAGTAGCTGGGACTACAGGTGCACACCACCACACCCAGCAAATCTTCGTATTTTTAGTGGAGACAAGGTTTCGCCTCGTTAGCCAGGCTGGTCTTGAACTCCTGACTTCAGGTGATCCACCCGTCTCAGCCTCCCCAAGTGCTGTGGTTACAGGTGTGAGCCACTGTGCCCAGCCAGATTATGTTTTAAATGATTTGTTAGAATTTATCTGTTTAAAGCTAAGAATTAGTAGTACAAACCTTCCAAAGTAATACAGTCCATAGTGAAAGCACGGGCCAGCTGGGTTGAAACTTCCATGCTACGACAAATAAGAGTCTTTCCAAAAACATGTTTGAAAGCTTTGTCGAATCTGGAATTGTACCTCAGTTTGCTGATCATAGGAATAGCATCCTAAAAATGAAATTTTGTGAACAGAGAGATCACAGTTAACTAAAAACTTAGAATTACAAAAGTACATCTTTATGAAATACAAATAAACCAAACACCATTATATTTCAAAACTATTGGGGTTTTTCCTGAAGTAGTTAGAAGACTCATTCCACTAGAATATCCTGGTAATTTTGCTCATGTAATCAAGGTTTTCAACAGTAGAGCCTAATAGCATAAAGAGTTTAGTGGTTCTGTAGCTAGACTGCCCAAATTCAAACACTGGTTTCACCATTTATCAGATGTGTGCTGTGGACAAGTTGCTTAACTTCCTCAAGTAATAGTTACTTCATCTACAAAATTGTAGATAATACATACCTTCCTTATAAAGCTGTGAAGCCTAAATGAGTTAATATATGCAAAACTTAGGATAGTATCTCTCACATAAAAGGGCTAAATATAAACAGCATTTCCTCAATGTTTTAATTTTACATATTTTATATATCTAAATTAGATATTCAGGAAAATATTTTGTCAGATAAAATTTCATTTTCTCTCTCCTAAACTGTTAGAACAGGATTTTTGGAATTTTTTAAATTATGAAAATATATCTCATATACAGAAAAATGTAGTTAAGTGTTCAGTGTAAATTAATAAAGAGAACACCAACATAACCACCACACAGCACAAGAAACAGAGCACTGCTGACACCCCAGAAGCCATGGGTGTGCTCCTTTCCTAATCACACAGCATTTAACTACGGTGGTTACCTGCCAGAAATGACCACTGCCATGACTGTGCTAATCACCTCCTTGTACTTCCTAGTTCAATTGTTTTTTTTTTGAGACACAGTCTTGCTCTGTTGCCAGGATGAAGTACAGTGGCATGATCTTGGCTCACTGCAACCTCTGCCTCCCCAGTTCAAGCGATTTTCCCGCCTCAGCCTCCCAAGTACCTGGGATTACAGCTGCCCACTACCATGTCCAGCTAATTTTTTGTATTTTTAGTAGAGACAGGGTTTTGCCATGTTGGCCAGGCTGGTCTTGAACTCCTAACCTCAGGTGATCCGCCCACCTCCCCCTCCCAAAGTGAGGGGATTACAGGCATGAGCCACCAAGCCCCGTCCTCATCTAAGTTTGGTTTTGTTTATGTAGCGTAAACAGAACCACACCCCATGTATTCCTTTGTGTCTCGTTCCATTCATACATCATGTTTTTGAGACCCAATTTTTCTTACCCAAACTTCAAAAACAATTTATAGATGTGATAGCAGAAAAAGCCAGACCCTTTGATAGCTTACAGGATTCTTAATGTTCCACTTAAATTACTGATCATTTCAGCTTTAACTTCAGGGGATGGTAAAACAGTTGATACTACCATCAACATTCTGAAGTCAAGTACCTCAAAGCAATTACACTGTTCTAAGAATGGTGTCTGAAGAATATTTTTAATCCACCTAAAGTTCACTAGCTAGTAACAGCAATATTATGTTTCTGAAGTCTATCACCTTACTAGCCATTTTTTTCATTTAATTTGTTTTTAAAATATATCAAGACACTTTAAATCTTTACATGACAGTTCCTTGGGAATTTTTCTCCAACTCCCTAACCTTAATTATGTCACTCCCAGATATACTCTCAAAGTATCCTGTACTTACGCTTTTAACACTGTACATTTGCAATGATTTGTTTCGTATCTTGGCTTTTTTCTCTTTTTTAAATGATCCTCCCACCTCAGCCTCCCAAGTAGCTGGGATTACAGGCGCACATCACTACACCACGGATCATGGCTGTGACTTCTGTCTCCCTCCCCAAAACCCACTCAGCACTAAGGTCCATGGGAAGACAGGTATTTTTATCTCATAGACCATTGAATCCCAGTGTGTAGTGACTGGGCACTAGCATGTGTTAGACTATGTGACAAAAAAATAACATTATAAAAGAGAAATAGACCTTATCACACATTGACTCACATTGGTTTCAGGATAGGCAGTATCCCTGACATCTAACTTGTTAAGAGGCAGAAAAGTAACCTCTCCAGGAAGATTCATTTTATTAAACTCCATTAAAATCTTCGTGCTGACTTCATCTGAATCAACAATGTGATAAAATAACCTGAATATAAAGAGAGTAAGACAAATCTTTATTGGTACTTTTTTTTTTTTTTTTTTGAGACAGGGTCTTCCCATGTTGCCCAAACTGATCTTGAACTCCTAGACTCAAGCAATCCTCCCACCTGAGCCTCCTGCATAGCTGGGACTGCAGGTGTGCACTTTTAAAGTGTTATAAACACTTAAGCATCAAACAATTAACTTTTTTGCTATATAATCCAAATAATTTTGGAAAAAAATAAGACTACTTTAAAAATTCCAATGGCGGAGGAGAAACTCTCAAAAGGGGAAAGTTCTAGCTTCTATAATTAGGAACAAATACTTAGCATCTACTTCTTTAATTAGAAAGTCAAATAAGGAACTGAGGTATAAAAAGATAATGGAAGGTATGATGCACAAAAACTACAAAAGTTGTTTCTTAGGCTATTCTTATTCCCTCTTCTAAAAATGCTAAATATCAAGCAAAAGCTTTAACCTGTTTCCAGCAGTGACTTCCACGCATGTGTAGAAAGCTGGTTCACATTCAAAGTTATTCATCACAATGCCATGATAGCCATTTTGAACATGCTGGTTTATTCCTTTTCGACGAAAGTGGTCTAGCACTTTGTTTATGCTGTCTATTCCATTTAAAATGGCCTGTAAATTGTCAGAAATGAAAAATATTAAAATTTTATCATCAGTGAGACTCCTGGTAAGGAATGAGACCACAACAACATACATTTTAAAAAATACCAGTGATTAAATTAAACATCCTCTCCAACAAACACATTACCTCCTCACTATATGCCAACTACATGTAACACCTTATATGATAGGTTCTGTTCTGTAACAGTAGTGTTAAAAATGGGCTCTTTATCTGAAAATCAAAAGTGCTACTATTTATAGTATGTGTAGTAATAAAACTATTTAAATCTCTATCATTTAATATTTAGAAGATAATTTGGACTCCTATTTATCACTTGCAACCCACGACCTACACTTGAAAGGTAATAAATTCTTACATAACGATGAACTCAATGACTCAGTGTAAACAGAAGTGATGAAAAGAACCTGCCTACCTTTCCCGTTGCCGCTCTAAGAAGTTGTTGCTTCTTTTCCAGATCTTCTCTTTTAGCAGCAAGTGCTTGCTGTTCTGCATTCTCTTCTCTCCACAAGTAGCTAATAAATAAAAATTAGACTGTCTTTAATTTTAAACACATATGAGGATGCATTAATAGTATACAGTTTAGAATCAAAATATAGAAAACAAGCCTGACCGGTTAATTTGTAACTTAAAGACCACATAACACCTAGTAACAAATATTATTCAAAAAATTAATGCATATTTTAGTCTAAATACTAACTTTCTTTCACTTTGTAATTCATCTTTCTTATTTTTTACTTCATAATATTTTCTGTCCAGTTCTTCTACTCGAGCTTTGACTTCATTAAGATCCTGGTCCAGTTTCTACGGAAATAAAAATAAATTTAAAATTCAGTTTCATCAAACAAATCTACCCTGATAGAAAGCAGATCAGTGGTTGCAGACGGATGGGGGAGGGAGACAAAAGGTGAGGGAGGAATTACAAAGGGGTATGGAAAACACTTGGGTAATAAACATGTTTACTGTCTTAACTGTGGTGATGGTTTTACAGATGTATATGTGTCAAAACTCATCAAATTATATTTTTGCCACTTTCCTGACTAGGAAAAATTATGTACACTAAATATGTACAATTTACTGTATGTGAATTATACCTCAATGATGCTGTTGAAAAATCCAATTTCAGTTTTTTTTTTTTTTTTTTTTGAGACAGAGTCTCGCTCTGTCGCCCAGGCTGGAGTGCAGTGGCCGGATCTCAGCTCACTGCAAGCTCCGCCTCCCGGGTTTACGCCATTCTCCTGCCTCACCCTCTCGAGTAGCTGGGACTACAGGCGCCCGCCACCTCGCCCAGCTAGTTTTTTGTATTTTTTCAGTAGAGACGGGGTTTCACCGTGTTAACCAGGATGGTCTCGATCTCCTGACCTCGTGATTCACCCGTCTCGACCTCCCAAAGTGCTAGGATTACAGGCTTGAGCCACTGCGCCCGGACTTCAGTTTTTAAAAGTTGTCTTTAGGCAAATGAGAATACCACCAGAAAACAAAAACCATTAAATACTCTAAAACATGTTGCTAAAATAAAAGTTAATTTGTTCATTAGTGATCTAAATCTTCCTATTTCTATAATATACACTCCAGAATTGTAGAAAAAAAATTCTAAGTTCTCATAATAGTGCATTATACACTTTCATACTGCCCCTTCTACACACACACACAACAGAACACAAAAACTATTTTCAACTATTTTACATTCAAGAAAAATGAGTTTAAAATCTTGGCAGAACCTATAACAAATCTAGAAGAATCTAACATAAGATGCTGTTTCCTTAAGGAGAGTTAATGAACTGTATTTAGTAAATTATACTGAGCTGAAAAAAAAAAAATCCAATATCCTAATTGGCTAGAGTTTAAGGAAGCTGACACTTCATCCACTTAGTGAAGTTACCAAAAGCCTAGTATGTACCAGGCATTCTTATAAGAGCTGGGGAATCATCAAAGACCAAAGCAAACAAAAATCCTTGCCTTTTTGGGAAGCAATAAAACAAGCAAAGTAAATCTGAAGATCATCCTTTAGGGGAAGGGCTTCAAACTGCTTCATGAGTTGATTATATTCATCTGTCTGTATTATAACTAATTATTGTCAGATATCAAAGTAATTGTAAATAGTCCCACAGAGTACTAACAATTATTAGTCCTCAGTAGTAACACTGACTTTTTGTCCAAAATTTTAATGGACAAAAAGTCAATGTTACTACTAATTCCACTGACAAAAAGTCAATGTTACTACTGAGTCCTAAAATCTTAGATAATCGGCCAGGCGCAGTGGCTCACACCTGTAATCCCAGCACTTTGGGAGGCTGAGGTGGGCAGATCATGAGGTCAAGAGATCAAGACCATCCTGGACAACATCGTGAAACCCCATCTCTACTAAAAATACAAACATCAGCCAGGCGTGGTGGCGCGTGCCTGTAGTCCCAGCTACTCGGTAAGGCTAAGGTAGGAGAATCACCTGAACCCGGGAGGTAGAGGTTGCAGTGAGCCGAGATTGTGCCACTGTACTCTACCCTGGTGACAGAGCAAGACTCTGTCTCAAAAAAAAATCTTGGATAATCAGAATGACTTTCAACATCTTGGATAATTAAACCCTTTAATTCTACACATGAGGAACTTGGGACTCAGTGGTATCTGAAACCATAAGAGTAAACAAATTCCCTATGTAAAATTTAACTTTTCTACAGCAATTACTTAATTCATCCCCAGGTTAATATGAACACATGCTAAAAGAAGAATGTAAATCTTGAAGAGTCAGTTTTCCTAAATTAATGTTTCAGCTTTCACAGTCCTAAACAATTCAAAGACTGTTGTGTTACTAACCAGCATTACAGCTTACAGTATTTCTAAAGTCCTACATACTTTGTTTTTTTTCCAGGTGTATCTGAACACTAATGGTTCCCTTTCTGAAACCATGATGCTACTCAGAACCAGTAATAAAGTAAGCTACCTATATTAAATTCAAAATACGTTTTGTAGACTTGAAATGCATTACACCACCTGGAAAAGAAAAAACATTTAGTATTTAGTTTGCACTGAAACTATCCAAAAGCTTCCCCTTCTCCACAGCAGTTGCTAGGGCCAAGATACCACTGACATAAGTTAGAAAAGTCTAAAAACTTAGTTTGGTAAGTATGTATGATATATATCACATAAATGAACCATAATAAAGCATAATAAAACCACCAAAACTACATTTTATTTTTCATACTGCAGGTTTTAAAAATACACTGTGGAAAAATTAATTTAGAATTATACCAAGAGGCAAAAGGCTATTTACATAATACAATCAGCACTATAAAATCATCTCTGTCCAAAGGAAAGGCTTCATCTTCACAAGTGGTCATTTTGATAACCAAAAGTGTGACTGGAATATTGGAAAATAAATGAACTTCAAGCATGACAAAAAATGAATACTCTCACTGGAGGCTCCTTCAAAAAGGGCATCTGCTGAGGTTAGTTTCATAAACTCAAGAGAAAATACACTTTATTTCAAGAAAGGAGGTGTAACTATTACAGTTCAGACTACACTAACCATATAAAGAACTACCTAAATTAACCCAAGTTTTCCACTCCCTCCACAAAGTACCATAACTAAAGCCCACAGCACGACTGGACTTCCAAAAACAGCAGGCTACACTCCTGGCAATTTTACCTGTTTTTTATGCTTACAGAGGCTGTTGCGTTTGCTCCTCACTATATTTTTTTTTTGTTTATGTAAAGTGAGAATATGAGTACAAAGAAAACAGCTCTTTAAAACTTCACTGAGGTTTTGGATATATTTAAAGGTAAGTCACCAAAAACTTAAAGTGGGCAAATCACTACAAAAGATTAGGGGCTGGGCATGGTGGCTCACACCTATAATCCCAGCACTTTGGAAGGCCGAGGCGGGCGGGTCACAAGGTCAGGAGATCGAGACCACCCTGGCTAACACAGTGAAACCCCATTCTACTAAAAATACAAAAAATTAGCCAGGCGTCGTGGTACGTGCCTGTGGTCCCAGCTACTTGGGAGGTTGCAGCAGCAGAACTGCTTGAACCCGGGAGGTGGAGGTTGCAGTGAGCCGAGATCACGTCACTGCACTCCAGCCTGGGCAACAGAGCAAGACTCCGTCTCCAAAAGAAGAGATTAGGGACAAATAATTACATATAATATACAATTAATGAGTACACAAATATTAATATATGTACTTTATAACAAATAATTTAAAATGTCAACTCCCAAAGTCAAGAAAATACTAAAGAACTGGTCCAGATTAAAGCAGATAAAAGAAACATAACAACTAAATGTAACATATGATGCTGGAATACCAAAAAATGAAGTTTAAAAAAAAAAAAGTTACACCAGGCATGGTGGCTCATGCCTGCAATCCCAGCACTTTGGGAGGCCAAGGCGGGTGGATCACGAGATCAGGAGTTCAAGACCAGACTGACCAAGATGGTGAAACCCCGCCTCTACCAAAAATACAAAAAATTAGCCAGGCATGGTGGCGGCCACCTGTAATCCCAGCCACTTGGGAGGCTGAGGCAGAGAACTGCCTGAACCTGGGAGGTGGAGGTTGCAATGAGCCTTGTCTCCAAAAAAAGTTACTAGCAGCCAGGCGCAGTGGCTCATGCCTGTAACCCCAGCACTTTGGGAAGCCAAGGCGGGTGGATCACCTGATGTTGGGAGTTTGAGACCAGCATGACCAACATGTAGAAACCCCATCTCTACTAAAAATACAAACTTAGTGGGCTTGGTGGTGCATGCCTGTAATCCCAGCTACTCAGGAGGCAGAGGTTACAGTGAGCCGAGATCGCGTCATTGCACTCACGCCTGGGCAACAACAGCGAAACTCCATCTCAAAAAAAAAAAAAAGTTACAAGTTGTTTTAGACATATGTGACATCTTGTCAAAATTAAGGGTATGTAAGACACATGCTACCAATTCATAAAAACATATTTTAAGCTGGGCATGGTGGCTCACGCCTATAATCCCAGCAGTTTGGGAGGCCAAGGTGGGAGGATTGCTTAAGCCCAAGATTTCGAGACCAGCGTAGGCTACATGGCAAGACCTCGTCTCTACAAAAAAAAAAATTTTGCTGGGCATGGTGATACATGCTTGTGGTCCCAGTTAGGAGGCTAAGGATAGAGGATCGCTAAGCCTGGAAGGTGGAGGCTGCAGTGAGTTGTGTTTGTACCACTGCACTCCAGATTGGGTGATGGAACAAGACCCTATCTCAAAAAAATTAAAAATACATACATACATTTTAATATACTTAATCTACATAAAGGCTCAATGACATGAACATTCTTAAAAAAGAGAACTATATGTATATTGTGCAAGCCTTTTCTAAATAAGTATCTGTCATATATTTTAAGGTCACATGTAGACTTATTTATAAACAAAACTTGAAGTAGATAAAACTAAACATGTTTATCTCTTCTAAAAGATCTTTACAAAGTGGCTATAAATGTTCTTACATTATACTGCTCCAGATTTTTCTCTTTATTTGCTTCAGTGTCTTCCAAATCCTTATGTATAGCAGCAATCTGTCTTTTCTTGTCATTAATAGCCTGATCTAAAGACTTGAGTTCCTTTTTAATCCACTTATCCCTTTCTTCTTTTGATGTAAACTGGCTTCCTCGACCCTGCTTTGCATAAAGATCCGTTCTTTCCTGGGTAGCTTGAGCCAATCTACACAAAATAGAAGAGAATGGGATTAAAGGAAAATAATAACCAAGTTTAATTGTAACCAATAATGTCAACTGTACACAGAAACATAAAGCCATTTTTCGAAACGATACAAAAAGAATTAAGTGTAAAAAGCAGCTACTATATAATTGAGCTCCTTGGACTATCTAGTTTTATATAATGAAGAAAGTTAAAGTGTTGGTGAAAGTTCTCAGACCTAGCAATTCCTCGTTCTTCTTTCTCTTTTACACTGTTGAATTTAGGTTCTGTTTCTGCCAGTTCTTTCTGCTTTTCTTCTATTTTTTCAAGCAGCTTCTGCCTCTCTTTTAATAAACGTTTCTGTAAATAAAGATAAGTAAAAATGCAAACTGCTTTAAAATTTTTGCATAATTTAGGTCTAGCACGTTTTCTCATGAAAAAAACTTCATAAGAAAACCCACCTGTAACATGAAACTTTTTAAATGTAACAAAGGGACAGTACTAAGTTGTTACTTGAGTACAAATTATGTTAACATAGCAAAGCTTAAAAAAAATTCCAGGACATACCAGTCACAGAAAGGACTGTCTTCTGCAGTTCCTACTCACCTGAACATTCATGTCTTTCATTTTTAGCATTTTAACTTACCCTCTGTTCACTGTTGCCTGCTAGTTCATCTTGTAAATCCTTGGCTTTAAGCTCCAACTTAGTCCTCTGCTTAATTTGTTCCTGTCTTTCAGCACTAAGCTGTTCTTTTTCTTCTTTCATAGCTGAAATTTTTGTTTTCAATTCTCTAACTTGGCGTTCAATATCCTATTCAAAAGTATTAAACAGAAAATAAGTCAGGCAATTAGAAGTACAACAGCAGAACTGTGACACCATTAATTCTCTTTCACTTAACATTTAGTACTACTCTTCAATATTCAATTCCTCTAACTCCCCCTTGTGGTAATCATTCCATAATTCTGGTACAAAAGGGTTTACTATGGTCAAAAACTATACGATGGCTGGACATGGTTGCTCATGCCCGTAATCTCACCACTTTGGGAGGCCCAGATGGGAGGAATCCGTGAGCCCAGGAGTTCAAAACCAGTCTGGGCAACATAGTGAGATTCCATCTCTTCAAAAAATAAAAAAATTAAGAGGCTGAGGTGGGAGGATCACTTGAGCTTGAGAGATCAAGGCTGCAGTGAGCTGTGATCTTGCCACTGCACTCCCGCCTGTGCAATGGAGTGAGACCCTGTCT